TTGCATGAATTGAAACGAATATCAGGAATATCATTTTCTCTATTTCTAGTGACTAATTAACTTAACATGCTTAACTTAAAGACTCAATTTAAAGAAACCATAACATTAATTTTAAACGGATCATCTTTCTTAGAATCAAACAATATATTCAATAGCAGATAAGATAACAAAATGAGTGTATTTTAATACAAGAACGAGTCACGTGTCTTTTAATTACAATAGAATTATAATTTTTATATAAATTTTATGTCTGTTTTTTATCGTATTTAACATTATATTTCATTATTGTTGCGTTACAATCTAACATACCTATCTACTTTAGGTCGCTCGATCAAAATTTAATTGTTATAGATTAAAGATTGTCATCTAAATATTTATACTGTAGAACGGATCCTCCAATATTGACTTTTCGGCGTCAGCTCGAATGGTTCCTTATATAGGTCACCTGCCTACAATACGACTTTGCATAATTTATTGCACAGTAGTGTGTGCCATACCAACAATTCAATTTATAATGATAGTATGGACATCAATGCAAAGAGAGTGATTTATCTGAACATTTGATGATCTTTGATAAAAACTTTCTTTGCTTGAATTGATGTTGCACTCTTTGCAACCAAATCATAACTCTGTCTTCGATACTTCATTCAAATATGCGATAAGATTTAATTATAAATATTAAATCAAAATTATTGTAATGTTCATATGACTACATGTTTGAAACAAACTCATTTTTTATTAGTGTATATAATCGATGATCTGAGTATTCGTGAGTTGTCTTAAATATTAGAAGAGTAATTTTTCATTTCCTACACAAAAGAGAACTATAGATAGTTAAAAATTGAAAAATTATTTTTTTAGTAAAATGATATCTAATACTTATCTCGACAAAATCGAAGTGGCATGAATATTTTATAAGCATCAGTTATAAGAAGGGAAATATTTTTTTTCTCTGATCATTTTAATTTTTACGCTAATATTTTTCGGTACATTCATCTCGATCTTATTTAAACATATATTTAAAATTTATATTTTATCGACATATATTTAAAAATTTATTGTACGTACTTACAAACTTCGCCTTAATATGTATAACCAAAATGTGGTTAAAAAAAATAAAATGGTTGTTTTATATGATTTTCGTATATTTCATTAAAAAAAATTGGTTCAAGTAAAATTATAATAAGATCAATATGTATATTATATATATATATATATATATATATATATATATATATATAACATTTTATTTTTCAATTGAATAATAATTATATAATTTCAATAATAAATTTACAACATTTATTTATTTCTGAATTTTCTAAAATCTAACTAAGCATTGATGACAAGTTAGAGGAATACGTAGGAAACATTGGGATTACATAAATATGTTTCATTTTTAACATCCAAATTAAGCATGAAATTTTGTCAAAGTAAATTTTAAAAAGTATAAATAAATCATTTTATATTTATAATATTAAGATATTGAATAATAGGGAGAGATGTGATATTTATAAATTCACATAATTTATTATGAAGATTTTTCATCCCTAGTCAAACAAATGTAGTGGATTCCAGATTTCAGACTGTATAATAATCGTTACACTCCTATATCTTTTAGAATCTTTTTATTTCGGCGTATCTGGAATTTTTTTTAGTATATTGGTTCGCTTTCTGTTTTCTCGTCATACCTTTCTTGTTTCTTAGTCTTATACACACGTCGCGAGATCTACTAAAGTAGATATAGATAAAAAGTATGTTCAACTTATAATGTTGAAAGTTCTCCTGTTCTCACTCATTATACTTGTTTATTTCTCTTTTGCTTCTAATTTCGCTGCTGTCAGTCAATCTTTACGGTATTAAATTAAAAAGGCGAGGGAGTGATCACTTGGCACTTTGTTATTTGCGCAAATCGATATTATGATGACAAATATAGCACCAGAGATAGTACCAGCACACATAAGCGAATTAATAATGATAATAATAATAATAATAATAATAATAATAATAATAATAATAATAATAATAATAATAATAATAATAATAATAATAATAATCAATTTCTTGTCGGCATGTTCTGAATGAATTATATTAGGAAAATTTTTATATCACTTTACGTGATTGTAGAAAATTTCTTAATTTTGAAGGTAATTTGGAGTTAAATAAGGTTATATAAATAAATAAAGTTAAATAAATAAGTTAAATAATTCGTAAGTTAAATAATAAACTTGCGAATTAAATATGTTCATTAAGCTAATTTATTCACTTACAAATTTTTTTTTTACATATATTGTATATGCGAGTACTAATTTACTTATAACTACATATTAGGAAATAGATTTATAAAATATTTTAGATTATTTACTGACTTTTTTGGTAAAAAAATGCTTTTCTGAATTTTCTATTAAAATATAAAATATGTACTTAGTAAAGTATTAATATTAAAATTAATATTAATAAGGAATGGAATAAGAAATTATAAATGCACAATTTGTGATTCGAGTTTTCTATTCTAGTTCGATGATATATCTAGAAAAGGAATATGCTAAAGTTTCTAAGAATTTAAGTAAAAGTTATTTATTTTAATAAATTTATTTAAGTAAAAGTAAAATTTTATTTACTACAAGATAATTTTGAATAATAAAAATTTTTTATGGTAAAATATTTGAAATTCGAACTGAAATTTTTAATATATTGAAATTTCCATTTTGAAAATCTTATGACATATAAAAATAAGCATTAATCAAATTAAAATAATTTAAAAATTAGGTCTTATAGACAATGATGAAAAGAATTCTGTAGATTAAGTATTACAGAATAATTATAACTCTATTCTCTGTTTATCAATTAAAAACTGTTTAATTATGTAATATAATAAACTATATAATATATATAGTATTTAATGATAAACAATGTTTAATAATATAATATTATATCTTATTTTAACGATATAATATTATAACTAATATAAATATTTCATTGTAATTTCCAAAAACATCGAAGATTTAAATATCCAAAATACGTTAATTTTAATCTCAACTCGCAAATCGTAGTATAAGTGGACATACCGTGGATTTCGTTGAAAAATTCAATTCAATTATTATTGTAGTTATGGATATCGAAACAAAAATTTGTTCTGAAACTACCAAAATGAAACAAATCAATGTATGTAAAAAAGTTGCTAAGCATTAATCATGAAAACATCGATAGAACGAATGGTAATAATACAATAGTAATAAAACAAAGCTTGAAGTCTTTCAAATATATTCAATAGCATGATTTTATTAAAAACTATATTTATATTTTATTGTTTATATAATTATATATATATTTTTTTCACAATCATGAATCAGTAATTTTTAACTACTAACTTTTAACGATATCTTATTATTATTTTACAGGTATGATCTTTCAAATATTTTTACAAGATAAATATAAAAATGATAAATTTAAAATGCAAATTTAATTGTTTAAAATATTCATAATCATATTATTCATGGATAGTAGTTAAAGCTCATATGTTCATATATAATCAAATAAATTTAAATATTCACGACAATTAACTCAAAGATATTTTTAATCAATAATTTTAATTATAATTGAATATAATTAATTATTAGATTATTAGATTCTATTTTTTAATGTATAATTTTTCAAATAAATCACAGAACTACTCGTAAAAATACACTATATGAAAATAATGAAATTCCAGAATTAAAAGAAAAGTTTCTGTTAAAAGAATTTGTTTATAATATGTTTGTTAATGATAACAATATTATTATTTTTATTTTAGCTGAAAAATTATTATGAGAAACAAGTTTTTTACATGTAATTTCCATTCATACAATAAATATTATAGTACTTATTTTATTTTATTTTCTACATATATAAATAATAATTATTATGTATGTACAGATACTTCAAACTGTTTTTGAATAAATTTCTACAACTCGTTATAATTTAATACTTACTATTTTCTCCAGAAAAATATATAATTTATAGATAAATAATATTTAAATAAGATACAATATATAATTTATATGTATATATAAACTATATATAATCGATATATAAACTATAATAAGAAGATAAATATATAATGATAAGATATATAATCTATAAAAGTAGAAAATCTTAAGAGTGTATCTTTATTTGCATTTAAAATTACTTTTTTTCTAATAATTGTATTCATTATTTATTAATTACTAAATTTATGTAAATCTTATATTACTTGTAGCTTATTTTTATAAAAAAAGTTAAAATATCTATCTACTTTTACATGAATTCATTAAATTTTATATTTCATTTTTTAAAAATTATGATTCGAATTATCATAAAATTATTTTTAAAAAATTTTGTTAGTTCAAGAATTAAATTTTACAAAAAATATTTACTGAAATAGATTCGTTATTAAAATTTTATTTATAATTATGTATAAATGTGACTGTTGAAATCAACAGGTTCAGTCAGGGTTGATATCTTAAATCAATCAATGTACAAGTGCTTTGCAAGGAAAATAATTAGTTTACAGTCTTAAAAGGCTTATAATAGATTCTATAGGTGAGTACAATCTCAATCCATTTGTTTTGCATACAAATAATTTATCGATTATTTATGTTATATAACAAATTTGTATCATATCTTAATAATAATAAAATGCATTTAAATAAAGAATATAAATTTATGATCAACATATGATCAACATTATGGCAACGAAATAATTTATCAGAATATTTTAGGATGTAATATTGAAATAACAAATGTTTCTAGTAATAATAATAATTAATCGAGTCGTGTATCATTGAATAAAGTTAATAATACTCTTAACATGGCTTTATTATATAATTTACATAATTTCAGTAAGTGAGATTTTGATATTTTTATGGAATTCATGATTTTATAACCACAAACAAAATTTTTATTAAAAACGAATAACGATCATCTCAAAAGTAGAAGAGAAGAAAATGTGATTCGATTTAAACAATGAAATAACAAGTACTCACCACGTCAATAATCTGTTGGAGCGTAATGCCGAATTTTACTTGCAAGGGCTCGCTTTCATTTTCAACAGGCCTCTCCAGTGTATTGTAATTCGCAAGCAATTTATTCAACAGTGCCCTCTCATAAGCTCCGCCATGAGTATCTGGTAACAGGAAAATACCAACAAACATTATACATTTCATTTACATATGCGCATATGCATATGCTTTTCTTATTACATCGAGCAGCAAACATTAGTAATTTCAGTATTTTTGATTGAGTATTATAGTCCATATTTTAAAAATAAAGAAGCAAACAGATTAGCTTATAGTAGAAAAAAGGGGCTTTAAAAAAACAGTATTATAATTTTTGAAACATAAGAAATATTGAATATTCAATTTGATTACTAACTATTTCAGTTACTTATTAAATTAATTTGACCTTAATAAAATTTTAAGCAAAATGAAATTATTTAACATATAACTTGTTTTTATTCTATTTAGATATTTATAGATATTTACAACATTCAAAAACTTATGTATAATTTACTAAATATCATTTAAATATTCCTACTTAATTTTTTTTATTCAATATTTAACACTTATTAAATACTTATGATCTTTAAACAAATATCTAAAATTTAATAAAATGTGAGACTTTTACCGATAAAGATTGTGTCTTGTCAATTTAAGACTGACTATATACACTTTCGGTGAACATTATTGATGTGAGTTTTAGGGATTCTCAGTGTTATTTTGTATTTTCGTATACTCCTTTGCAGCATTAAAGAAATAGAATTGTAGCTTCAAATGTGCATACGTAATTGCATACCTCTAGTTGCAAGCTTTTTCTTTAATTAAAAGGTTTTGCCACTCTAAGTAATGGAATAAGTTCACTGGTGGTTTGCATGAGAATTAAATACGTTTTAAAAACAGCTCATAATAATACCAGTACTATAATAATATGTATTTGGCATTAAATTGTAATATTACTTTTTATATATAATAAAAATTATATTATATATCGAATAATTATATATCGATAACAATAATTTATATTATATCGTTATATATTAATAAATTTTAATGGTTTGATTAAGTGAAATATGATTTTATGGAAAATTTGAAATTTAATGAATTAATAAAAAAAATCGAATAATCTATAAGGAGCAAATATTTTTATATCAAAAGCTATATTAATTATGTCTAATGCTTAGCGAAACATCATTGAGATATAAAAATTTGATGGCACATAAATAAACACAATATATTTCAGCTATTTAAATCTTTCTCATTATATACAAGTACGAGTCCTTTATGAAAACATAATCCGTGTATGTAGTCGCATATGAATTTTATGTGGTCTTATTTGATTTTATAGATTATTTTATAGAAATAATTTGTTCGGGACATAAAACTACTAATCAGCATAGATATGCAATTAGCTATGAAACTACTTAACTTTTGTTAATGAGTTGTTTTAAATCGGGTAATTAATTTTATAAATAAAAATATCTTCTATGCGTAAGGATTATACATTTTTATAACAAATTAAAAATAATGTTAGAACATCTAGACGATATATTTTTCAATATGAAGTATTATGAATATATTAATTTAATAACCATTAAAATAAGCTTTTAGAATATTTAGCCATGTATTTAGTTTTTTTTTATGTTAACATTATAGTTTATGTGCTTAATCAAATTGAATTGATTCTATTTAATGCTTAATATTATGATTGCTAGAAAATAATTTTTATTTTTTTTATAAAGAATAAGAAGAATTACGTACTTTGATCTTATGTTCTGTTTTAAAATTTAAATCGAATAAAAAGAGACCCTTTTTAAATAACATTTTCAGTTTTCCAGAATACATAATGTTTCTTATAATATCTACATCATATCATGTAAGTACATATGTGAGATATGAAAATACAACTATTTAATCATAACCACAAAAAATATGTATAGAATATTTTTGTTTCAAAATATAATTTTTTTCTTCGATAAATGCTGCAATATAAATAATATCCATTCAAATACTATTTTCACTTTTTAAATATGGCAGCATGGCTAACTCGTATATTATAACAAATTGTAGCAAATAAAATAAAATTGATACGCAAATGTTTTCAAAAATAAGTTCCCATATATTTGCTTTAATCATTTGTTTTGTTAATTATTGATTTCATGTTTTATCTCTGCGGATTGCTCTTACTTTTTACTTTTTCAAATATTCGCATCTGTAACTGTACTAATTGTTGATATAGATTTCGATAAATCAGGAATGCTACTATACACTGCAAGTGTATAGTAACCTAAAAAATATCCTATTATATATTCTTGTATCTTTCAAATTCTTTTTTCATATATCTGTTCTTTTGAACGTCTTTTTATTTTTTATGTAATTTATGGTCTACGTTTAGGAATAAATAATATGACTAAATATAAAAAATAATGATATCGATGAAACATAAAGCATATGAATCCAACTTTATATACCATAATATACTAATTAATGATTAGAATCTGTAATTATTTTGATCTATACAATTATAATATATTACTCATGAATTTAAAAACAAATATATAATATATTGTTAATTATCAGTATAATTACTTTCTTAATAATTTTTAAGAATCATTTTTGATTATTCATCATTTTGACTTATTTTAATAATATATTGTAAAGAATAGTTTAAAATAAAAAATCCCTTAAAGAATAAAAAACTTGTTTTAAGTATTAAAAGATTTAAATTTAGAATATATGATGAATATTCAAATTTATTTAATACAATAACATAAAATATTCAGTACTAATAAAGTTTCTTTTATACATCTAATCTGATTACATTTATTGGTTATGATATAATTGACAAAATTATTCCCTTTAATTTTTAGAATTGTTAATTATAATTATAAAATTTGAATGACATAAATGGAATATTATTATATATTTAATTGATTGTTTAATTTTACCTAGATATCAATGAATATTATGGATATTTTTTAAAACTTCGTAGAATTTGATCAAATTATAAATAGACATAATATTTATAACAAAAATTTTGTCTACCTATTTTTTACAGGATAATATCTAATAAAAGAAAGTACACTACTTGTTTGATAAATTTGATAACAATATTCATATGATATTTATTTATTTTAATATACTAATTTTTCTAGAAGATAGCATATGATATTATTACTTGGCAATTATACTTTAGTGTAAATAAAATTCATATATTTCGGAGTAATAAAATGCTTGATAAATATATTAAACTATATAACAAAAAAATATAATAAATTCAAGGTTTTTATTAATACTGTTTTAAATAATTATAGTAATATAATATTTTTAGTTCAAAATTTTCTTTATCACTGGAGTATCTACTTAATTTATTCATGTACATAAATTACATTAGATATATATTATATATTAATGTATTAATATTATACATATTATATATACATATTATTAATATTATCATATTGTATATTTATTATTAATATTAATTATATGGTTTTAAAAGAAGTTTTTAGAGTCGTAACAATGAAGAATGAAAATAATAATAAAGGTAATTAAATGGTATTAGGTGGGTCCCACAATGTTCGAACTCGCGCTACTGAAATTTTATTCTATACATGTGACCTCAATCCTATTTGTAGCCCGAATAATCCTAAGTTTTATTTTTCATTCCATTCGCCTTTATTTTTATTTCTTTCTTTTTCTTCAAATCTATATAGCCTATTTATTTTTATTTCTTTTATAAAATACATAATTATTTGTTTGTAGAAATATATATATGAGGCATTTTTTTGATGCAAAAAAAATAACCATAGCTTTTTAACATTAATATAATACAACTGTAAGGTATAAAATACATTTATTAATTTTAAATATTCTTCAAGAACTTAAGAATATATAGATTTAAAATATTTTAGTTATGGTAAGAACAATATATTAACACTTGAATTAATATATAATTAAAATTCTATATATTACACAAAATTAAAAATATAATAATTAAATATACAGTCATAAAGAAATGTTATAATATTCAATAGAAGGTAATAGGTTATAATCAAAATTATTTCTTTTATTGTTACGATCCACAACATCAGATACATACAGAAATTAATTATATATAGGAATATGTAAAAAAAAGAAATATTTTTCAGAGACGTAAACTTTATTAAAAGCTTAACATTCATTTATTTCTATATTAATATATTATTAATATATTTTTTTTATAAATAACTTATTATATGTAAAAAAAATAACAATTTTCATTCAAATTTCAATTTATTTCGAAATATATATTTCATTTTTTGTGATACATCATTAATTCATAAAAATTTGAAGTCATTTATTTTACGTTTATGAAATTAATCTATTTTATATTCCATTATATTTACAAAAAAAACATGTTATTAGTAAAATCTCATATTCGTGTTCTTTCTTTTGTGTAAAGAGTTTTTCATGTAATGAAAAGAATTTCTGAAAAGAAACAAAATAATGTAATTAATGAATTGATTAAAAAATGTTAATTTCTAGATTCATTAAAAGCAGTAATATTAAAATAAATATCAAGATAATAAATGCATGATTTGGATTTTATTTGTAGATGTTTTCATTCACATTTTATTTATACGTCGTGTACAATATATAATGTCTACACATTATATAAATAGATTTTATAATATTATGAAAGTTTTCTATATTTCGAGATGTTCATGGAATACGAATTCTGGCATTTCAAAGACTTATTACAAATTATTAAATCAAACATTTTCATTTTCTGCATTTATTATTAGAACAATTTATATAAAAATGACATAACAAGAAAAATATAAATAAAAAGTTGCCTAATCTTTAATAAAAATTGATTATTTAACTTAGGCATTTAAACATTTTATGTAGACATTTAGAAATTTATACATTTTATTCATATTATTTTCTTTATATAAAAATTATTTATAATATCATTTGTTTTTTAGATTAATAATATACTATAGTAATGAAAATTGTATTATTTCTAAAACCATATAATTTGGTAAAAAAAAGTCATTAAAAATATAATAATATAATTAAAATTTTCTTATTATTATTGTGTATAAGATAATTTTTATTAAAAAATAATGTATACAAAATTTCTACTTAAATTTTTTATTTCATATTATTATTAT